CTTTTTCTCTTTTTTTTTTTGTTTGTTTCTTCTTCCTCATGGTTTCTCCCATTGGTTCTAATTCTTCTTTACAATATGACTAATGGGAAAAATAGGTTCAATATGAATGTATATGTGGAGGCTATATCAAATTGCATGCCGTCTTGGAGTGGAGGGAGGAAAGAGATAAGAGAGAAAAATCTAGAACTTAAAATGAAGCGAATTGTTGAAAACTAAAAATTAATAAATACATTTTAAAAAAAGAAAATTTAACCACTATAAATGGCTATGACCGTGACAAGGAAACTAAAGGATCCTGGAAACCACCTCGGCCAGTAAGCGTTTGATCTCCTTGCCATGCAGAGGAATATGCAGGCCAGGGCCACACTGTTTTAAAATGCAAACTTCTTAGCAGAATATTATCTCATAAGACATGGAAAAGTAGTAGAGGGGAAAAAAGTGAAGGTTACAAAAAATTTGAAGTGAGAACCGTCTGAGACTGATCATGTCCACGTCTACAAGGATGAAACACAGAATAACAGATGGAAAATAGAAAACAATTTCTAAAGCTGTCTCTGACAAACTCTTCTGATGGAGCCTTCATCACCGTGCTCCTAACGTCACAGTACTCAATGGACAGAAGAAGAGTGGTGCCAAAAGGAAACAAAGACGGAAAGGACAGCTAGGCTAGACCTAATGAATGTGGGGGGGGGTGGAAATCACAGGCTTATTTGTACTTTGAAAAGTTTACTAAAAAAAATGTCTACTGTCTTATCTGTATAAAATCATTACGGTAGCCATCTTCACATAGAGAGGGATTGTTGATGAAGGTATAAAAGGGAACAGACGGGCTTTCCCTAATCTATATTCTACAGCAGATCACATCTTTACCATCATAGAAATGTCTAAAAGGTATGCAGAGCACAAGATCCTACTGTGCTTATTATTTATTGATGACTAAAAAGAAAAGGGAGCCATGTGGGTTAGTAGGTACAGAGGACTGGCCTCAGGGTCAAGAAGATGACCAATCCTACTCCAAAAACATACTGGCTGCGTGACCTTGAGCAAGTCACTTAGAGTGTCCCAAGCAATTTTCTAAGACTATAGGTTGCAGAGCAGATACAAATCTACAGTACAATGAGTTCCTCCTCCCCCGCCCACCCCCTGGCCATCTTTTCCAAAGAGATCTGGGAAACAAGCCAGATTGAATCCTGACTGGGAAATCCAAGAAAAAAAAAATCACAGTAAGTCATTTTTCCAGCCCAGGTTAGCACAACCAGAGACAGGCAGGAGACAGACAGAGAAGTTTGAGGACACTGGGCATGGGGTCTAGCCAGGAAGGGCCTCATAGAGCATGGCAGCCCAGGGGGAACACACACACCAGGGCAAGATGTCTGAGACCCAGCAGAGAGGAGCCAAAATAAGCTGGCAGCTCTGCCGCTCTTTCAAGTTCTGGGTCACAGATTCAGGACTGACTGAGCAGACCCGTGCCTAAGGGCAGCATTTCAGGGTGAGGAGTGGTCATGAGTCCTAGGCTATGTACCAGTGAGAAGCAAGGTCAGAAGCAAGCAATAGCAGCAGCTATGTGACTGACTCCAAGAGGGGTCCAAGGTCTCAGTTCCAGCCTCTAGCCCACTCTGAAATCTGCAACGGAATAACTAGGGCAAGCACCCCCGACCAAAGTCCATTGGGCTGACGGTGAATGAGCCCAGCAGCAGTCTGCTAGAACTTCAACCAGAGGCAAATCCATAAGCCCGTTGCTCTGACCCAAACCCAAATCAGGAAACTGTGGAGCTCAGAACAGAGGGACAGTGATCAGACTTTGCCCTGGAGCACACTACTTTGGGAGCCTTGAAAACTTATGAGTTGGCAGGCTAAGCTGTCCCTGACAGTGTTCCTGGAATCACACAACACTCAATTCTCCAAGAAAGCAGAAGCAGTTGGCCCAGACCAGACATTCCCTCCAAAAATGTGCAGAGTCTGGCCCTGACGTCAAGTCTGACATCAGGAAGCAGGCTGGAAGAATGAGCAAACAAAAAATGAATCCCTCCACGAAAGCTATCGTGGTGACAAGGACATTCAAGCCATAAACCCAGAAGACAATGTCTCTGAACCATCTACAGGCAAAGCCTCAAATGAAAGTGCAGCTTCAGTAGAAATTCAACTAGGATTCCTAGAAAAGATGGAGCAAGAGTTTTTAAAACACTTTTATAAATCAAATGAGAGGGGCTAAAGGAAAAAGTTGGAAAAGAAATAAGAGCTATGTTAGAAAGAATTGGAAAGGTAATTAGGAGTTTGGCACAAAAGGTATAAAACCTAAGCAACAAACTCCCTGAAAATTACAATGGACCAAATAAAGCTAATTTCATGAAAAGAGCAAGAAATATTAAAATGAAGTCAAAAGGCTGGGGGAAAAAAACCAGAAGAAAACATAAGGTATCTCCTAGTGAAAATACTTGACCTCAAAAATTGATGTAGGAAATACGGTAATTTAAGAAATAGTTGGGGGGCAGCGAAGTGGCTCAGCGGATAGAGCACCGGCCCAGGAGTCAAGAGGACCAAGTTCAAATCTGCCCTCAGACACTTGACCGAGCTGTGTGAACCTAGGCAAGTCACTTAACTCCAACTGCCTCACCAAAAAAGAAAAAAAAAAGAAAAAGAAATAGCAGAGTACCTAAAAGCCATGACCAAAAAAACAGCTTAGAAATAGTGCAAGAAATCATAAAAGGAAACTGCCCAGATCTCTTAGAACCAGAGGGCAAAGTGGAAAGAGAAAGAATCCACCAGTCACCTCCTGAAAGAAACCCCAAAATGAAAACTTCCAGGAACATCAGAGCCAAAATCCAGAGCTTCCATAGCATAGAAAAAATACTGAAAGCAACCAGAAAGAAAGAATTCAAGTACTGAGGAGCTACGGTCAGTATCACACAGGATTTAGCAGCCACCACATAAAGAAACAGAGATCATAGAACATAATACTCCAGAAAGCCATGGAACTGCACTTACGGCCAAAATTAACTTAACCAGAAAAACTGGATATAATCCTATAAGAGAAAAAAATGGACCTATGATGAAATACAGGACTTCCAAGCATTCCTGATGAAAAGACCACAGCTGTGTAGAAATTCTTAAATGCAAACACAGGAGTCAAAAAATACAAAAAGGTAAACATGAACAACCATAAGGAACCAAACAAGGATAAACTGCTTACATTCTAACCCAGGGGGATGTTACATACATCCCCTCAGAATCCTATCATCATCTGGGGGCACAGAGGGAGTCTAATCAGACAGAGGGCCTGGGAGTGGTTTTCTTGTGTCTTGATGATCTTAAAAGAATGGAGAGGGTAAGAGTACACTTGGAGGGAAAGGAAAGTTAGGGAAAATTATCTCACACATAATCAAGGTGTGCAAGTAGAGAACTATACAAACAAGAAGGAAAGGGGTAGGGGTAGCCAGTGACACCTAATCCTCACTTTTATCTGAACCAGTAAAAGGAGAGAAGCATATACAATACATATGAAGCGAGAGGGGGAAATAAGAGGAAAGGGTAATGAAGAGAGGTGTTAGTCCTCAGCAGAACAAACTCTAACTAGAGATATACAAAAATATTTATAGAAACTCTTTGTGCAGTGACAAAGAACTAGAAGCCGAGGGTGGGTGCTCATTAGTTCGGAGAATACCTGAACACATCATGGTATGTGAATGTGATAAAATATTAGTGTGCTTTAAGAAAAGATGAAGGGGATGGTTTCAAAGAAACCTGGGAAGACTTGTATGAATTAACAATGAAAAGGGAAGTGAGCAGAACCAGAAGAACAATGTCTAGAATGACAGCAATATTGTAAGAAACAACCAACTTTGAAAGACTAAGGAGCTCTGATCGATGGACCAGTGATCAGATTCCAGAGAAGTCTTGATGAAACTTACTCCTCACATCCAAACACAGAGGTGAGGAACCCAGAATGCTGAATGAGGCATATTTTTTTGGACACAGCCAATGCAGAAGTTCGTTTTGCTTGACAACACGTTTGTAAACAGGAGTTTTATTTTTCTTTCCTTCTCAACTGGGAGGAAACGGAGGTGGGAATGAAGGCAGATTTTTGCTGACTGAAAAAATATGCATATTTTTAAAGACACAGAAGTATTCAGAAGAAGAAAAAGAGGGTCAGGAAGAGTGAATCAGTTGCCCGTGATCACACAAATAGAGAAGACTTGAACCCAAGTCTTCTCAGTTCCAAGTCAAGCCATCAATAAATATTTATTAAACATCTGCAGTGTGCCCAGCACTCTCCTAGGCACCGGGGATACAAAAAGAGGTAAAAGACAGATCCTGCTCTTGAGGAGATTACAAGTACAGCGGCCCACCTCCCTCTCTCCCTCACTGAATCAATGACGTGCTGCTATTTTGTACTTATCACGTTCTAATTTGTATTTTTTTTAAATCTGTTGTAAGATCTAAGATAGAGACTCTCTCTCACTCAAGCTAAGGTGGCATAGTGGCTGAAGTGATAGATGCAGAGTCATGAAGACCTGAGTTCAAATTCAGCCTCAGGCACTTACTAGCTGTGTGATCCTAGACAGGTCACATAACCTCTGCCTTCCTCTGTTTCTTCATCTGTAAAATGGAGATAATAATAGTGTTTACCTCCCAGGGTGTAGTGAGGATCAAATGAGAGGTTTGTGCTAGCTATCATTATCATCATTATTATTGTCCTAGTTTCCACTCTCCTCTTTCAACCAATGGACCATACATACCTGGCCCCCACCAGTAATGCCTCAATTTGTGTCTTGCACATAATATGTATGCTCCTAAAAGGGCAGGGAACATTTTATTTTTGTCTTTGTAATACTTAGCACCTAATACAGCGCCTGGCACACAACAGGCACTTAATAAATGCTTGTTGAATGACGGACAGTGAACACTTGAGAGACATTTGTTCAACAAATGAATGAAGTGATCCATGTCCAGCCTTGGACTCAGCCCCCCCCCCCCAAGATCAGAGGCGCCATGTCTCTTACCCAAGATATCCATCCACTCCTCCTGGAGGGGGCTTGAAGGCCCTGTCTCTTCAGATGTTGCAGGCTGAGGCTCTGTGGGTCCCTCATTTTGGGCTGTTCCCACATCCTCCAAGGGGGGCAGCTCACTCAGGTCATCATCATCGTCCTCCTCTTCCTCTTCAGTTCCATCTAGGACCTCAAAATCCTCACCCGAATCCAGCTGGGCAGCCCCAGAAGGTGCTGGAGAAACAGGGCTTGGGTCTGCAGTGGGGGTCGCAGCTTTGGACGCCATGATTCTTGAAGGATGCTGCTGGTGAGGGATGGGGGTACAGATAGAGAGGGAAAGGTAGCCCTGGGCCAACAAAGGAATACAAAACAGCTTAGGTGGAGAGGTAATCAAGCACAAATCCCACCAAGGTTGTCTCTATCCTTGTACCTTCCCTGGCTGAGACAGGGGGGTACGGCAGTGAAACCAAGTTTCTGAGAGTAAGGGCTGAAGGGGCTTTAGAACACAGTATCAGAGTTGGGAAGAACCTCAGAGGAGGCAGACAGTCCCTTTTACAGAGCTGGGTAGGAAGCCCAGCTCTGTCATCTGACCCTGGGCAGGCCTTACTCTACCTCCCTGAGACTCAGTTTCCTCACTTGTAAAACTGAAGGAACTGGATTAGATGGTCCCTAAAGTTCAGCTCTATCCTTCAGTGACCACCAAATCCCTGACATTTTGTAGATTTAAAAAAAACAAGTGAGGTGGAAAGAGGGAGAGAAGAATCTGTCCAAAGGCAAGGAGTTGGCCAGTCTGTGGCTGAGCTGGGAACAGGCCACAGTTGTCCTGATGCTCCCTGGAGGACTCTTTCCATTAGGCCATCCTACCTACCCAAGACTGATCACCTTCTCCAGTCCCTATCCTCATTATTGGGGGGAGGGATTAAGAAGAAAGGCTGTTTGGGGTCTGGGAAGAGATAGGGGCAGGGGCAGGATATGGCCTTCTGGATGCGCTGACAGCATCTGACAAGTCAAACATTTACCAGATGAGATGACCTCTGCCAATACCTGTGCTGTGGGGGCTGGGAGGATGCCAGATGGGACAGAGGTGGAGGGCGAGAGGAAGGACACCCTGAAGCCCCTAATCCTTCCCTTCAACTCGGAGGTCAGACCTCTACTCTATGGAGTGGGATGGTGATCACTGAGCTAATGTCAGGGGGTCAGGGGGCCTGAGGTCCAACCCCGGCTCTGCCATTGCCAACCAACCCGAAGATGACCTTGTACCCACTCTGGGCCTCAGTCTCCTCCTCTGTGAAATGGGGGTTGGCCGAGATGACTTCCGCAGTCCCTCCCCTCCCTAAATCTACGATCCCGTCCAGGGCGAAGGATCTGCCCACGCCCCCACCCGGACCCACCTGAAGAGGCCCCTTCCCGCCCCCAGCCCCTGGGACCCCCTACCGTTCACCTTGGGCTGGATGGGCAGGGGCGGGACGCCTGGGTCCCTGGGGTAAATCTAGGCCTCCCCATCCCTCGAGGCTAAGGGTGACCCCAACGGCGGGCCAGGGTCTCCCCCGAAGGTCCCCCGTCCCCATCCCGGCTCCCAGGCCGCGTCTCCAACCCCCGACCCGCTCCGGCCTCCAGCAGCCACCTCGCTCCGGCCTCCCCCGCCAGCCCGGGCCCCGGGAGTTACCGAAGTCCCAGCCCGGCTCCCTCGGGGGCACGTGCCACCAGCTCGGGACCCCCAGGGTCCTGCGGGCCCCCCACAGCCCAGCAGCAGCAGCAGCAGCCGCCGCCGCTGCCGGCCCTCGGGAATCAGCTGCTCTAAGCCCGCCCTCCTAGGTGCTCATTGGCTGGGCTTGCCAGGAAGGCTTCCCGGATTGATTGGCGCGGGTATCGCTCTAGGCGCGAGGACCCGCCTCCTTCCTGCTTTGGTTTCCAAGGTTTTTCAAGCTCTTAAAGGGACCGAGACTAAATGCGCTGGTGCGGAGGTCACGTCCAAGGCCAGGGCCTGGAGGGCGGGGCCAGGACTCACCCGGAGCTGTGCTGGAGTGAACTCCCACCGCTGAGAGAGCCGACAGTTAAATAAATACACAGGGAAAGCGTTCACATCTCGAAAGTGGGCAAACGCAGCATGCCAGCGCTTGACTTATGGTTATGTTTATTAACGGGCTTCTAGAAAGTGATGGGGAACGTGTTAATAACTCAAACTTAAGCGTGTCCTGCAATTCCTCCCCTCCTCACACACCCCCTCTTACCCTGCTTTACTCTCACCCCCGCCCGGGCAGAGCGCTTTGTTAAACATTCACCTGGGTATCCCTGACCGGGTGTGAACCTCCGGAGCGGTGTGGCTCCAGGTAGTTAGCAAAAGTGATTTCTGGGTCCTTGGAGGCAAAGTTGTGCTGGATTTTGACACCCCACCCTCTCTATGCCTTAGTTTCCCCATCTGCAAAACTCAGCTGACAAGGACATACAACACGAAATTATATGAGTATATATAAAATGTCATATAATATGTATTCTATAATTTCATTTCACATATCTAATTATATGTATATATGATAAATGTATGAAATATACACATAAAATGCATTACATATATACATATAAACATGAAATGTATGAACATATTCGAAATATATGTGGATCACTTTTTGTTTTAAACAAAATCGGCAGATTATAGTAACACTTAAGAATAAGTGGAATGGAAATAGCTCAACCTTCTGGGTCCACCACCCTTCCTGGTCCCCTCCCCTACTTCCACTTGCCCACGGAGTAAAGATTCTGCATTTAGAGGCAGAAAGGACTTTAGACTCCATGTAGTCCAACCTCCTCCTTTTACAGCCCTAGAGAAATGAAGTGAATTAATCAGGGTTGCAATGTACTTGTGTAACCAAGTTATCTATGTTTGTGCACCAGGAGGTCAAGGACCACTTCTCTGTTTTTCTTTTTCCTCTAGTAAAAATGTTCGTTTATACTTCTTAAAAATATCAGAATCATTTGCCAACATGCTACACGTGTGTCCCACCCCTACCCCCAGCCTCCTCCTTTGCAAGCAAGAGAATTTTGAGCAAAACCCAGCTGACAAGGACACACAACATTCCCCTCCTCTTGACCCAGAGACAAAAGTGTGTTTCCTCCTCTTTTCTCTGGGACAGGGGAGGACTTGGTTCCAGAGGAATGGTTTTTAGCTGAACCATATTGAAAAAGAAGAAATTAAAAAAAAAAGCAAGGGTAAGCTAGGGGCACTAAGGATAGAGCACTGGTCCAGGAGTCAGGAGGACCTGAGTTCAAATTTGACCTCAGACACTTACTAGTTGTGTGACCCTGGGCAAATCACTTAATCCAAATTCCTTCAAAAAAAAAAAGTAACAAGATAACAGCAATTTTTGTTTGTTTAATCAAAAAGTTTGATTTCATTGTGTTACTGGAATGAATGCTCTCTGATGAGCAATTATTTTGCAATTTAGAGCCTTAGAGTTACCTATAACTCTTTTTTAATTTTTTGTTACAAGAGAATGGCTCTCTGAGTAAGGAAAAGGGGGGCAGCTAGGTGGTTCAGGGAATAGAGAGCTGGACGTGGAGTCAGGAAACCTGAGTTCAAATTCAGCCTCAGACCCCAACTAGCTGTGTGACCCTGAGCAAGTAACTGCTATGTGCCTCAGTTTCCTAATCTGTAAAATGAGTTGGAGAAGAAATGGCAAACCACTCCAGCATCTTCACCAAGATTTGGAAACTGAGGCCAGGAGAGGTAAATGAGTTGCCAGAAGTCGAACAGGTAGCAGAGCCATGATTTAAACCCAGTCTTTCTGACTCCAGAACTGTTGCTTGTACAAGCACAGGATTTTAAACAGAAAGGACCTCAGGACCAAGCCATGCTCCAAAGGAATACTCAATAATCAATCAATTACATTTTTTTTTATGATTGGCCATGTGTATTTAATATTTTACTTTACCCCAATTACATGTGAAAACAATTTTAATGTATTTTTTTTAAATTTTGAGTTCCAAATTCTCTCCCTCCCCTCTCCTTTCCCCTTCATTGAGAAGGCAAGCAATTTGACATAGGTTATATATGCATAGTCATGCAAAACACATTTCCATGTAAGTCATTCTGTGAAAGAAAACACAGACAAGAAAAAAAAAAGTAAAGAAAAAGTATGTTTCAATCTGCATTCAGACTCTGCTGGTTCTTTCTCTGGAGATGGACAGCACCTTTCAGTATGAGTCCTTCAGTATTGTCTCCGATAGTTGCAATAAACATTTATTAAGCACCTACTGTATGCCAGGCACTGCGCTAAGAGCTGAGAATAGGAAAAGAGGTAAACATCCTTGCCCTAAAGGATCTCATAATCTAATAAGGGAAACAACAAACAAATATATACAAACAAGCCATATATAGGCTAAATGGGAAATAATTAAGAGAGGGAAGGCACTAGAATTAAGAGAGGTTATATAACATATATAAGCTGTGGTCTCTGCTCAAAGACCTCCAAAGAAAGGAATCACACCATGTCCCCAGACAAATCATTCCACTTCTGGACAGCTCTTCTGGAAAGTTTTTTTCTCTCATCAAGATTAAATCTGCTTCTTTCCAACCTCTGACTCATTGTTCCTGTTTCTGCCGTCTTGGGGGCAAACAGAGCAACTTAATTCCTCCAGGATGAAAGATCTCTTTGTCCACAGGTTTCTCCTAGAGGCCTGGACTTGCCCCTCTCACATTCTGCTTTGGATCTTTGATGACTGTATGTGCTATGGTTCACAGGCCTTTCTCACACCACTAGGTTATAAGCTCCTTGAGGGTAGAAGGACTTGTGTGATTTTTCACCTTTGTCTCTCCTAAAAACATGTCTGGCCTATTTTATTTTTGGTCTAGCCAAGGGTGGGGAACCTTCGGCTTCCAGGTATCTCTTTCCATTGGAAATGGGGGCAAGGTAGAGTGGGATTAGGGAACAATTCAAATGAACCCAGATGACTTTTCTCTCTCCCTCCCTTACACCTTCTTTCCAGAATCCCCAAACTGAGCACTAGGGAGGTCTGAGAATCCCTGAACTACAGCTTCTTTCCCCAAGTGTGAGTCTGCAAAGTTGGCTCTCCTGAGCACCATCTGATTAGATCCTTCCTTTGCCTGGTATACACCCCAAGTGGAGGGCTGGGATCACTGAATGGCTCCCAGCTTGCTTTGAAGTATCAAGTCCAAACTCCTTAAATACCAAGGTCTTTAAGACTCCCAAGCACCCAGGACCACCCTCCCTTTACTGTAGTCATACTCACTTCCAGGTACTCCACACTCCAGCCCAATTAGTGCCATTACTCCTGTGTGGTATCATGGAAAAGAGCATATAGGATATATTGGAATACATTGGACATAGAAACTTGACTTGGTTTTGAATCTCTGCTCTGCTACTTGCTAGCCCTGTGAGGTTTCCCAAATCATTTCCACTTCCTAGACCTCAGTTTTCTCATTTGTAAAATGAGTGAATTGAACTTGCTTGTTTCTATGGTCCTTTACATCACTGAATCCTAATGTCCTATGACCACCCACAGTTTCTGTCACAGACCAGTCTCTCCTGATATCTGCAATGTTCCCTTCCACCCAAAGAATCCCTCTGTCCATTGCCACCTACCCTTCAAGGCCCTTTCCCCTAGGACGTCAAATGCTGCTCGGTTATATTAGAGGTAGTTTACGGTGCAGTAGATAGAGTATTAGGCCTGGAGAAAGGGAGACCTGGATTCATATCTGGTCTCAGACACTCCTAGCTGTGTGATCCAAGGCAAGTCATCTAACTTCTGTTTGCCTCAGTTTCTTCAAATGTAAAATGGGGATAATAATAGCATCTACCTCCCACGGTAGATTTTGAGGACCAAATGAGATAATAATAGTTGTTATTGTTCTTTAAAAAAATCATTGGGGCAGCTAGGTGGCGCAGTGGATAGAGCACCAGCCCTGAAGTCAGGAGGACCTGAGTTCAAATCTGACCTCAGACCAAACGCTTGAGACTAACTAGCTGTGTGACCCTGGGCAAGTCACTTAACCCCAATTACCTAAAAACAATCAATCAATCAACAAATAAATAAATAAAATTTTAAAAGTCACTTAGCACAATGCCTGACATACAACATGCTCTATAGAAATGCTTTGCCCCTCATCCCTCCCTCTTATTTAACACTGATGATAAAATGATAGCTGACATTTTATATATATATATATATATATATATATATATATATATATGAGGCTTACAAAGAGCTGTAAATATATATATATATATATATATATATATATATATATATATATATATGTATGTATATTGGATACTTACTCTAATACACTTATGCATTCCTTGGTATTACCCTTTCTTTTATTACATTGTGAGAGAAGACTGGCCTTTGAGGGCACAGCCCTTGGACAGATGCAACATACATTCCTTGGTACCAACCCCTTGTTGAGGCTCTTAGTAAGCTCTCTTCTGGAACATTTATTCTTCAGAGCATGTGCAACTATTCTCCAACTGTTTTCTGTCAGCTTGCTGTATGATAATGAGAAGCCTTTTTAATTGATACTGAGTCACGACCAAGTGTCTACAGAGAAGTCATATACAGATGGACTCTCTTTCTCTCCCTGGTGGCTTTTAAGGGAGGAAGAGAAATTGCCGGTTGCCATGTGGCTATGAACACACCCTGCTGCTGCTTCCTCCAACATCTGATAGAAGTGTCTTGAGGGCAGGGACTGTTTCATTTTTTTATGTTTGTACTTGCATCACCTAGCACAGCACTGGGCATGCAAGGTGTTCGTCCTTTGTTTTTGAAGAGGATTAATGACATCCTGGGGTGATGTCCTGACTCG